GTCATCTCGAAGCTCGTTTGGAGAACTACATAATAAATATATCGAATGGTCCAAGTACATATTGAAAATAGTTAAAAATACGTTAAACGTGCGTATCAAAAAGACGAGTCTAACTCGTATTTTCTTTAAAATATTTCAATTATTTCATTAACATTTATTATTTTTACACAACAAATTTCTCAATATAATTTACATCATTTTATTAGAAAACTTTACATGAGGTACAACATCAAAAATTTTCGAAATTTTACATCCCAAAAAGCCATACTCCATGTAAATTTTGGGATTTAAAATTCAGTGTAAATTTACACGAGAGTGATTGTTTTTTATGTTAATTTTTGAATGTAAAATTTCTCATAACTTTTTTGCAAATTTAATTGTGCCATCTAACTCAAAATGTCTGCGTTCATCACTGCTAACAAATATATATTTTTCAAAGTAATTATTTTTCAGTTCAAATCATTTCTTCCAAAACAAACACTTAGACTTTACCGTGTTGAATATTGTTCTATGTTTTTTTAATGTATTTTGATTGTTGTGCCCTTTCCAATTTGACGGGAAAAGAGTTGTTGAGTTCTAAGAATCAAAGTATTTTCTTTGTCTAAATGAAGTTAAATTTTTATGTTTTGGGCTTTCTCAAAACTTTTTCAAAAGACGATTTACTGTTTTAATATGTATTTTTATCTACAAAATAAGGAAAGAAAAGTAAAATATAAGTTATGGCTGATTTCAGTAAACTAACCTCACCGAACATTTAATGCATAAAAACGTAGCACGAGTTATGACTACTACCTACCAACTTTTATTTATTATATTAATCTAGCATGTCTAAAAGATAGGGTTTTATAAGTAATTTTAAGTTGAAGATTTAAATGTAATTAGCAAAAAAATCCATATCGATTGAACTCATTGCGAAAAATAGTTCTATAGTTTCAAACTTGTCATTTACTCCCCATTTCAAATATTTCTTGCGGAGTTGATCATTTCCGTCATGTTCTATTAAATCCTTTTGTAAAATATAGGTAATTGGTACAAAAGGCCTCTATCGTTTGCCTTTATTGCTTAAATTTTCTCTATCGTCTCAATTTTGATGTTTGAGCATTCAAATTGATCTCTCTTTACGCAAAGAGTCTTTATCGACTATTTTATCCATTAAAGTAATGTAAAATGATTAATTTATCCTCCTCTTTAAATACTCAAACAGAAAAAATAAATAACATAAAAAAATTACATCTAGAGTTCCAAGTTTTTAAAAAAGTACAAACGAGTCTCATGTAAAACAATTTAAAACATTCCAATAAAAGAAAAATATTTTATTTTCTCAATTAACCCGCCTTGATTTTTGAATTGGTGTAAACAATACACCTAAAATATGATATATATCAATTCTTCTCATATAGTTTAATGTCAAAATCATATGATTCTTCTTCATTTGCATAAAGATTAGAAAACTTTAGGCCCAAAAAAAGGACATTAAGTTGTTCTTAAAAGAAACTTTTTTAGTTATTGCACATAGCAGTAAGTCACAAAAGACGTGAGACTCAAAAAGTTCAACATCTCATACTTTCCGAGCAATACTAAAGTACTATAATTTGCGGTCATAAGCAACATTTATGTACTCACAATTGCAATATGTAAAGGTAATGGAGATGAGAGACCTTGTCACGATTCACATACCATATCAAGTACGTTGTCAAGATGGACCATGCAATGCAGGACCAAGCACAGACCAGGTATGTGGGTCCTTTGGACAATGGACCCGTCCCGGGCTTCTCCCAAAACACGGTCAAGCCAGGCCATTCGACACCCCTAAATCACTAAGGGTCTGTTTGATTGCAAAGATATAATTAAATTGAATTGAAAACGAATTTCAGGGAATTGAATTGCTTAAAAATTATTTTCCTAGGAATTGTAAATTATTGTGTTTGATTGGTATAATTTTTCACATGGAAAATATTGAAATAAAAGTAGTTTTTGCTGTTCGTTTGATTTTGTTTTACATGAAATTGTCAATTAAAGGGATATATTTTAATGGTATTGGGAATGGAATTTGTTTCCATTGCCAAAAAAAAAAAAAAAATCCAAAAAAATCATTTATCTTTTGGTGTTCATTTGATTTTGTTTTACATGAAAATTGTCAATTAAAAGGAAATATTTTTTTGCTATAATTATTAGAATTTGTTTCCATTGCCAACCAAAAAAAATAAAAATAAAATTGGTACAGTGACCAAAATTGCAATTCTCACAATATCCAATTCAAGGAAAATGTGGAATTCAGCTTAGGTGGCAAAAAAATGTGAAAAATGAATTGTAGGTAAAAAAAAAAAAAAAAAAATACTATCAAACAATGCAAAAGTGGAAGTTGAAATTCATTTTCCATTTTCTAAGGAAAATTTTGGCTTAACAAACATACCCTAATATCAAGGCCATTACCTTGTTGGTTCAATAAATGAAAAAATGAAAGTAAAAATAAAAATAAAAATCTATCTACCATCAAAAGATATATTGCTGTTTAAATTGCAATCTTCAACATTATCAACCATTAAATTATTGCTAAAATAATTGTAAAGAATCAATAATGGGAATAAAATGCAATTGCAGAATCTTATTTTCTTTTTAAATTTGTGGGCCGGGTTACAATACAAAAGTATAGCTTCCATAGTTTGGTTGATTCATTCTTTCCTATTTTTGATTCTTGGCATATAATCTCCTTCAGCAGTGTTGGACGTACAGGGCCACATCCAAGGGGAACGCATATCCCGCCTATTGGCTGGGGGCCTGTCCCCCGCCATCGAGAATAATTCAATCTTTTTGAAAGATCATGAAAGATAAAGTGGATTTCCAAACTATGCCACCCCACCCAACTCTACTCTAACCACCCCCGCCCCTCAAAAAAAAAATGGAAGAAAGAAAAATAGAAACCATAATTACAGTATTATCCATGATATATATACAAAGGTGTTCGACTATCTGGAGTCTAATCATACTATAAACGTATTCCCGCTGCTAATGCCAACATGATATGAGTTTATCGTTATAATGAGTGTTCCATTCATGTATTTGATCGTACTAATATTTCTACACAAACAAGATTTTTTTTAGGTTGTGGTTTTTGTGCTGAGGCAAAGACTGAGAATCGCTATAGTTTTTTTATTTCTTGTGTTTAATATCTAATTTCGTTCTATTTAGGGGATTTAAGGCTTAATCCATCCAAGAGAGAGGACCATTTCAATGTCCAAAAGAGCACACATTTTATTGGTCCAACATAAATATCTGCAAAGTGAAAAGCTAAGGTTTAGGAAGAAATATTGTTAAAAGGTTGAAGTTGCAAATGCTTATAAGATTTTAGCAGCAAGTGGCATAGAGCAGCCCCTACCTATTCATGGTCCTAACCCAATCTTGGTCAAAAAATCTTGCAAGATAATCTGAAAATCTACAGATTTTCTACTCAGAATATTACAAACAGTGAGAAAAAGACTTATAGTTCGACTCAAAATGTTGTTATCAATTACTGCTAGATTCTTGCATTACCCATTTTCGTGCTCGATGCATAGAAAATATGAAGAAAATGAAAGAGATCTGCTGTTTGACCAGGCTCAAAGCCAAGCCAAAAACAGGGGACCTATGTGGCGCTCCCTATTGGAAGGGTGCCTGGAGCCTGGCCAAACAGGTTTTCCCAAACTGAAAGGGGTCGTGGACACGCGTCTTTAGTTCTTTGTTTTTCTTGAAAGTTAAAATCTTGTTTATTGTCTTACACAGTGTAGCATAGCAACCATATTTGAAGGGTTAGATACGAAGATTCTTGTAGTTAAAGTTGCTAATCTTTTTCGTACTTGATGCATAGAAAATCTTACAAAATCGAAAGGGATTGAGGACCCCTTTATACAAGTTGCAGAAAGATATATATATTCGGGGGGACTCTGGCGGACCACTAGAATCCAATGATTAGTTGGAAGTTACATTTGCAGCATCTTGAGGAATCTGTACATGGAGAAAAGAAGCATTGAGAATTTATATATGCCTTGTTCTTGCTAGATTTATGGAATCCGTATCATCGAGTAAAATCTTGCATCTGAATATATGTAGGGCGGTCCTCTTCGCATGAGTTCGGTCTAAGGTCGGCGCTTCTTTCGAAAAGCCTATAAAATAATGACATTTCTAATATATTGATTGGAGGGGATTAAAATTAGATTTTTAATAGGTTTTGATAAAAAAGTTGATGAAATGAGTGGTTGAAAATTTGTGAGACTCATAAATATATAGTTAAAATTAATTGTTGAATTTGACTTAGATTAAAATGTATATTTAATCGGTACGAAACAGGATGTAAATATGTTCGTTGATGATTATTTTACACATGATTAGACATGTAAAATCACTTAGCCCGTCTGCTTGTAGGGAACCTGAGACGACTCATGCATGGCTTGGGATTTGAGGCGGGTTGGCTAAGCCCGTTTTCCACCTTTTACGTGGCTCATCTCGTTCTGCGGGCTGGACTCACTCATTTTTCTATCAACATGGCTTCTGATTATTAAGGTAGTCCTGAACTTAAAAGAGGATTGATATTGTATTGATCTGTAGTTTTGATTAACCTATATATTTGTAATTAATTCTCACAATTTTATTTACGCAAGACGCGAATCTTCTGATTGACTGCTACATTTAATCAAGAAAAATAGCTAAAAAATCGCTTCTAAGCATGACCCAACATCTTCTAATGTTTATACAAATCAAGAAGGATCATATGATTGTGACACTAAACTGTGCAAGGAAACAAATGAATTTTATTCATCAAAATGCAAAGTGAAACATCCTTTTCATGGAGAAGAAGATTCTTCAACATTGTTACTATTGTTCCTTGTCCTGCTTTAGTTGTGGTTCTGGACGAGACAAATCACTAAAATTCTTCAATTTTTTTTTGCAAGTTTGTTGGCTAACTGGCATGACCTCACCTCACCCCACTCCCCAGTTCCTGGAGCTTATAAAGATCAAGCAGTTGCTACCTCTTCTGCACATATCAACTCTTCAGTTTCTCATCAGTCTTCTTTCTTGAGTTTCGCTACCTCTTCATATTCGTAAATTCTTCCATTTTGGCATTTTCTTTCATTTTCTATAGTAACATTCTGTTGTTACATTCCCTTTGTGTATACTTCTCTTTCCTATATACTTAACTTCTAACTAAAATATTCATCTCGCAAGAAATTAACGGCATCTAGCTCGATGTCATCCCGTGGAACTTGGACTGCCCAGGAGAACAAGGCCTTTGAGAGAGCCCTGGCTCAGTACGACACAGACACGCCTGACCGTTGGGCCAAAGTTGCAAGAGCTGTCGGAGGGAAAACCCCAGAAGAGGCGAAGAGGCATTATGAAATTCTTGTGGAAGATGTTAAATACATTGAGAGTGGCCAAGTGCCCTTCCCCTACTACAGGGCCTCCAGGGAGACTAGGAGCAGAGGTTATTAACATACCAAATTATACTTTCTATTACGATCAAAACAACATAGACATTACAAACTGTCAATGTAAAGATCACGACACTCTTTTAGTGAAGAAAACATAGTCATCATGAGTTGTCTTCTCTTTCAAGTCCTTTATAGATTCACTTGTCAAAGTCGGCATAAGGGCACTATTTCTACATCTTTCGTGCATGGACGAGTGATGAGAACATGTTTAACGCACAAACCTATCAACTCGTGCATTTATCACTCACTATAAATGTAAAGTACCTGATAGAATTATTCCCGAAATGATAGCTTCATTTCGTCACTACTATACACTAGTTATGGCCTTCAGAGCATATTTTCTATACATACTGAACACAGTATAACGACAAAGATTTTGGCTACTTATTATTCCTTGATTATTGTAAAATCATCTTGCTAAACATGCCATTGAACTTTAAAAAAAAGTTCAGAAACTCTTGACATGGTATAGATATTAGGTATGCTTACTGTTTCTTCAATCTTGATTATTGTTTTTTGCAGGATAAAAATCTGAAAGTTCCAGAGAAGCGTCGCCACAATCAACTCATTAACGTCCTCTTGTATTTCTTCCGGGAGCTCGTAGCAGCATAAAATAAAAAGACAGTTCACCTAAAACTTGATGATTAGAATCACAAGCAATGTGTTGTTTTCTCTTGTATACTTTTTAGTTTCTATATGTAAGCATGTGTATTATGATCATAATGATCAATGGAGGAAGCCTGTGAATTCCGTCCCTTCTGTAATAAATCTTCAAATAGTGCAATTTTCCCTACTCTTTTAACATGTTTCAACCCGGAATTATTCTATGAGCAGATCCTCAAATCCGCTGATAATTTCAGTGATAAAAACTCAATCAAATGCGGTCACTCAAGAAATCTCTTTCGAGGAATTCCTTGACAATGGAGTCTTTTAAGACAAGTATACTCTTCAAGAGAATTGATTTGCGATTAGTCAGTCTAGAAGTGTACATGTTATGAGTTGGATTTTTTAAGCAAGATCACCCATACAAGATTTATAGCTCTGAGACATTGCTTGGACGCTGAGAATACCAAGTTTCTGGTTTACCAGTATGTGCCGAATGGAGATCATCCGTCCAATTATTCGATAAGAAAACCCAATGGCGATATCTGTTTAAAACTGTTGACTTGGACAACAAGAAAGAAAACCGCAATCGGAGCTGCATAGAGCTTAGCATATCTACATCATTATGTAATCTTGTAGACTTAAGCATTGGTTTGAGGGAGAGAAGTTCCTGCATATTGCAGAAGTGTTCTGGTTGTGGCATCTTAATATTGTTGATGCATTATCTTTGAATATAATCATTTATTCACCTTTTCCTAATTGGAAGTGCTAATTCGATAATTTTAATGTGAGGTTGGGGAGCCCAAGTGAAGTCTGTGAAGAAAGAATAGTAGTTTTACCCTAAATTTGGAACTCTTAAGGATGTTTTAGTCTGCTGTCAGAAGTTTTCCATCCATCCTGACTAATGGATTTGAATCATTTGATGACAAGATAAGAGGAAAACCGATTAAATTCTACTCTCTTCGACATAATTCTCCTCATTACCTCGATTTAACTTCAATAAATGAAGAATTTAGTTAAATGTATTTCAGGATTTCATTTCTGTTACTGTTGATTTATGTGCATCTGGTGTTTACTGCTTTGCAAAGGTTCTGCTTGAGTTAGTAACAGGAAAATTGGGCATATATATTATCTGTGAAATGGAATGATCTTTTTCTCAGGTTTATGTTGCGATTTTCATCTGTTTGCCTGATAATTGATATGAAATAGCAGAAAAAATGGGACAAAAGATTGCAATTGAAACAAGAGTTCATCTGCGAAACCATAAAAATGTTAGAATAATCTGAAACACGTGAAGACAACAAAACTATGTAGCTTTCAACACATTTGACAGACAAAATATAACAGCTATCTGCGTCCTTGATGGATGAATCATATCAAAAAGCTTATTGCGTACATAAATCTGACATGAAATGTAGTTAAGCTGCTGTCTTCATTTCGAGACTTGCATCAGCACTTGCATAGGCAGGATGGATTTCATGACCATCTTTTGGCTCAACGTGCACCCACTTGCGTCCGCTCAATTTGTGACGCTCAAACTTGACACAACCTTCCTTCAAAGCGTAGAGAGTGTGATCTTTCCCGATTCCAACATAATTTCCAGGATGGAAACGCGTTCCCCTTTGACGAACAATGATGTTCCCAGGTATCACTCTCTGCAACCACATAAATGACTTACATTGCATTAGATAAAATGAAAAATAAGCATGTGTTTGGGGAGGGGTGACTGCTGGCTGGACAATGAAAATACACCAAACACAATATAATAGAAAGTATAGTCGAAATGTTCATCCTCTCACTTCTCCACCAAATTTTTTCACTCCAAGATTCTTTGGGAGCGAGTCACGTCCATTTTTGGTGGATCCTGCTGTCTTTTTGGTAGCCCAGCGCCTGAACATCAAGCTCAAACCCTCTCCAGATGCATCTAAAACGAGTAATTGAATTATTATCCAACTCAGAAAAACTTACATCCTACTAAAAGAAATGCAAGGCGAAATTCATACCAATTGCAGAACTGTAAACAGGTGTACTGGTAATCAGATCCCGGATACTTGACTGGCTTTTATGCAGTAACTTCCCTATATTCATCATATTGCTTACAGTGTGAGCAGCGAACCTGGATCGAAAACGTTTATCACATCAAATAATAATCTACGCTTGTTCACAACACTTCATTGTGTTACTAGTTGATCGTTGAACTTAGCTATCCCTTAGTTTGACTAATGAAAAATCTGACAAGGTAGTCTAGTTGGACTATCATATTACTTTTCCATTTGTCAAACAAATAGTCGTGTATAGGTGACAAATTGTATCGAAGTTTAAATCTAGCGATCAGCTTGAAACAAAATAAAATTCAGTGACCACTATAAAATTCCGCTACAGGCTTAGTGACACTGGTGTAGCCCTACCTAACCGGATGCATTCAAATAACAGCGTCGGACACAATACAAACCATGGACACACAGAGAAAATGAAAAGATGGATCAGCAAATTAGTAGTAATCCACAATTTTCCATAAAGAGGGAAAAATCTGCCAAGGGGAATAATCCATCAGATATCTTTTGATTGTTTCAAAATTATAACCAACCCAAAACCATAATTGTTTCAACGTGTGTATTTCAGGCATTATATCAAACAGTTTGCAAGCAAAACCAGACAATTTCAGGCATTACATCAAACAGTTTGCAAGCAAAACCAGACAAAACTATCAAATGCCCATACACCTCCTTCCTGATTTGTTAAAGAAAAATGTTCAGAAATATTATATCTTTGTAGAAAAAAGAGAGTGGAGATACCTGTCAATGCCGGGCGTGAGAGGAATTGAACAGAATCGGGAAAGTAGCAAACTCAAAAAGATTTCATAGTACAGGATTTCATATTACAGTTAAAATGGGCTGCCCTCCGCCCAAGATCCGGATTTGATTAGGCCCAAAGTTAAATAAACGCTGATTCAATAGTTAGGCCCAATAAGAAGAGAGGCCCATTGCCTCAATGTAATGACAGCATCACCAAAAGCACGTCGAGCAGAAGGCAACTTTAGGAGCCGGTCGGGCAAGATATCTCAAGTTTAATAGATGGGAAGTTCGCTATATGCAAGTAGGTCGATTTCAAGACAGTTCCTTAAATCTAAGGATCCTTTTGATTGCAAAAGTGAAAATGGCAAACCAATTTCGTGTAAATTGAAAAAGGAAAAACCACAAAAACTATAGGAATTCGACCTCCACTCAATTGGTAAAAAATATGCTTTAAATGCTTGTCCCTTGAAATTCAAACTTCATTTCTACTTTCGTATCAAACAAGCTATATAGAAAACAAATTCCCGAATGTGATATTTTTAAATAAATTTAATGCTATCAAACGAACCCTAACAATAATTATTACTCGCTTAGACTTGAAAACTGCCCAAGAGTTTGTTTCAAAAGTGTTAATAAACGATCTGAATTATAAATATATAGAAATGGTTTGAAAGTTGTAATCGAGATTAGTGGATATACTAACTAAAATATATCAAAAATATAATGTATCGAAACCAAATATTAAAAAAAAATGAAATTTAATCCGACCAATAAGTAACGTCAAATGAACCTCACTTCACAAGGAAAGTTATTTCACTTGCTTTCTTATACACGACTGATGTTCCATACTAGGAACTTACACAATTATTGTGGCAAAATGGAAGTAACAAAGAAGATACAAATGATAAATAGATCCCTTTATTTAGCAAATATTCAAAATCACGAGGACCCAAGTTCAAGTTTAACTGAAATTAATGACGACTCGTCGACTCAACGGTACAAGCTTTCAGATCTCAGGTTCTCAGCAATTTCAGTTTCCCATCGGTCACCATTCTCGAGTAGCTTCTCCTTATCGTAAAGAAGTTCCTGTTGCAACGACGAATTAGTTATTTACTCCGATGTTAGATTAGCAATGGTTAGTTCAGTCATTAATATAGCGAGAAGTCTTAACCTCGTGAGTTTCAGTAGCAAATTCAAAGTTGGGCCCTTCAACAATGGCATCAACAGGACATGCTTCTTGGCAAAACCCGCAGTAAATGCACTTGGTCATGTCGATATCATACCTAATGAATTCAAAATGTCAAATAGAATGAGATGCTAGGGGCAGACCGAGAGGAAGTGCAAGCGTGGAAAACAAAACTATTACCTTGTTGTCCGGCGGCTCCCATCTTCTCGTTCCTCAGCTTCAATGGTGATTGCTTGGGCAGGGCAAATCTGTCAATGAACAAAATTACATCGAATAAACTAATGCTCATTAACATGCTGCAAGAGCAAGCTAACCAAGTACTAGCATAAAATTGAGGTAAAAGAAACTTAGCCTATGTTTGGCTCACGTTTAAAACCTGTTTATAAACAGTCGAGCTACTTTTTAACCACCCATTTCGAATGAGCCACAAATACTACCCACTTATTCACCACTCATTTCTATCTATTTTTAAACTAAACAATTTATAAATACTTCTAAAACATGCTTTTAGATGCACATGTAACCTAACTGTTTATAACACAAGCTGGTGCATGTCTAGACCTAATACTAAGATGTTCATAGCAACCTCAAATACACAGAGTAAAGAACCATCAAGTGGATAAAATTACATTAATGTATAGCCCTTACAGCTTCACACAGTTTGCAGGCAATACACCGTTCCTCTCCAGTTGGATATCGTCGGAGTGCATGTTCTCCACGAAAACGAGGACTCAAAGGGCCCTTCTCAAATGGATAGTTGATCTGCATCATAATAATATCTTCAGATTTCAATCCATTCAATGGCACAAACAAGATCACATTCTGGCCCATGACTGGTGTTGCTAAAGTTCAATAACTAGCCACTTCAAAAAACTTCCACCCTCTAATGAAAAACTAACGATAAAGTAAAGCACGTGCACTTGAAATTGAAGGAAGTGAACATTGTTCTTTGACATTGAATCATACTTGTGGTAGATTTCTTTCAAGGGCTTACTCCAAATGAGAAAATGAAAATAGAAGCAGCAGAGCAGCAGCAAGGGGAAGGAGGAAGAGGTAAATTTAAACTAAAAATATATAAAAATACATGTCCACTTCAAAATGAGAAGTGGAAAAATAAAAAGAGAAGAGAAGCAAAACAAGGATACATACTGTAACTTTCTTCTCAAAGAAGTATTTGAGTGTCAGGCTCATACCCCGAACCATTTCAGTAAGGAATAAAGTGTTTATGCTCCGCTCAAAAACTGCAATTGGTTAGCAAGGACCAGGGTTATAGTTGCACATTGAAGAGAATAAGTAGAACATCAAGTACATTGACAAAGTTAAAGATCTTAAAATGCCTCTACCAGAATTCCAATCTTTTGATATCTCCTTTGCAAGCTGTTCTCTTTCTTCATCATCTGCAGTAAAAATAAGCCAAAATTACTTAAAATACGTAGAAAGTGAGCATCCCATAACTGTCTTCCAACAAACAGAGAGGTATTCAATGAAACAGGAAATGCATTTGACAAACTGATAGAGTCAAAAGAGGCACGTTGAATTAACTGATGCAGGCTTCTTGCATTCCAAATGACTCTTTATATGAATTCTAGAAACTTAAAAAATATACTAACTAAATTACGTCCCACAGAAATTCTATCCAATTTTTCCAATTCTGAGAAAAACTTCTTTATTTTAATGGACAAGTGAACAGCATGGTGGAGCCAACCTAAAGCAACAATAATCTTGAACCTATCTTTTTCAGTAGCAACCATCTTTGTAGCTGATGATCTTGTTCTTTTCCAGAATATTATCTTACTACCAAGAAAACTTTCCCCTGCGCCCATTTCAAATTTCTAGATTTTTCTGTATTAATTAGTAATAATAAGTACATACAAATGTTCTAGCTTGGCCAGAAGAGGCTAGTGGCGATGGCCAGCAGTAAGAATAGAGGAAGTAAAAAATAATAAATTATTAATTTTAGATTTCATGTTAATTATGTTGCATATAATTAATACGAAACACTATGTTATATCGAATACAATATGGAACCTAATTACAACGTAATTAATGTGCCCTAAAAGCACAATAGTACAAGAATAGAGCTCTGCGGAAACTTCAGTTTACAGAAAAGCATTAGAAAATTGGATAAGAAACCACTAAAAAACCACTTGACCATAGGTAAAATTAACCGTGAGTTGCAACTGAAATTATCACCCTAACCCAACAAAAGTATTTGCTACTCAGAAGTTGGAACATACAACATTACCTTCGCACATGTCCATCAGTATGTCCATAGAGGTATTATCGTAAACAAGAAAGTAGAAAATCAAACTCTTAAAAGCACACCTTTGTCTGTAGAGAATGAGTGCTTGGTGGCAAATGAGCGTTCACCATAGATTGATCCGTAATGGTTGGAGCCCTGCAATGCTTGCCCTGCCAGAGCCTATATTTTTATGTTCCCCAAGAACAAGTACTTAGTATAGAATATCTACCAGAGAATACAAGTAGCGTTAAGAGGAGAAAAAGATCCAACAGAAATGTCTCATGCATCTAGAAAGAGATACTAGCACTTCCTCTGAAAAACTAGAAATAAAAACTTGTATATCCAATAACAACGATTGCATACTTTTTTTCTGGGAGATTGGGAGCGTATGAGAATATAACAGTTAAGCAGTTGCCACAACACTTGATAAAAAAATTTCCATCCGATAGACAAATTACTGAATTAATGCATCTAAGGAGTTTCAAATTCTCTAATTTAATCGTATCCTAATCTATTGATCCTTGAATACAAAAATAAGATTTTAATGGGGGCAAAACCCTAGAAAAAAAAACGGAACAAGAAAAGCCAGAGGTTCAAGCACCAAAAATTTCTCATTACAACAGTAATTAGATCGTAAAATAGAGAGTTCTGGTTTCCAATCCTCTGAATCTGAAAACTTAATTATCCGTAAAAAAGAAAAAAGAAAATCGACAGGAGGGCTTACGAGCTGGCGAGAGCGAAGACCAGAAATGGATTTGCGAGCTAAAATGGAGGCCATTTTTGTCGTTGCAGATTCAGTGAGTGAGGTGCCGAGTCTTCTACCTTGCGGAATCGATCGGGAAAGAGCTACAAATAGGTTGCTTGTCACCGGCCTCGGTCACAGGCGGTGAAGGAATGCGTGTTACTATTTTGATAAATTTCACTTGGCATCCGAGTAATGCTATGTTTCTCACTTGGGTGTCGTCCCGGTCTACGTGGCATTAGACTATAAATTAAACCCTTATTTGATCCCCATTTTTTCAAGAATGCATTTTTTCAAAACTCATTTTCAACCATACATTCTTCCATAAAATAATTATACACGAATTTCAAAAAATTTTCCTTACTTTTTAACCACACATTCTCCAAAAAACTACTATTTCATAATTCATTTTATCTCAAAAATGGGAATCAAACAGGGGCTAAATAAAATATGAAATTAATTGAGTTATTTAATTTTATTTATTAATTAATGCCACATTAACGTCATCTACACTGGATTGCAGGATCAGCTCCACTGGAATTGAAATAGCATTACTCAAAATATCTCAATTATCACTTTAACTTCATATTTATGGCGAAGGATAGCAATGGGCAGTTTCAGGGGCCGTCATTCAGTGCATGTCTCGTCAAGAATTTTTCTTTCCATACCCCTTTTAAAGAGGAAAATTTCGGTGGAACGATCACATCATCTTACATGGTGCGACTGTTGAATAAGAAGTCACCATCTCACCGGATGACTCACCCTCACCCACTGAGGTGAGGCGACGACCTTAAAACTTAATTTTTTTTTCTTACTTTCCATCTCAAGTGCTTAGGTGGCCTCACCTCATGTGGTAGAGATAAGTAGATGGGCCACCCGATGAGGTGGTAACTCCCTATTTGACAATTGCACTATGTAAGATGGTGCAACCATCTCATAAAAGTTTTCCTCCCTTTCAAGATGATGCATCATGCGAGTTCGGATTTGAAGTTGGGCACTTATTTGTCATGTTTACTGTCCCGTTTAATATTTATATTTTTTTAGTTGAAAATTTAAATTTCTTTTTAAATAATACTAAATGGAATGGGGGCGAACAGTACACGGCCCTTGCCTCGCCAACTTGATGAGGTGTGAAGATCTGACCTTGTTCATATAAGAACCTCTCGGACAATGGCAAATGCAAATTTTGAGTTAGGGCCCACAATCAAACTTGCAAAAATATTATGAGAAATTTACATACAAAAAATTAAAAAAAAAAATTATACCCATGTAAATTTACACCAAATTTTACAACTGAAAATTTACTTGGGATATGACTCTTTCAAATGTAAAATTTCAAACAAATTTGATGTCATACTCCATTTAAAATTTTCTAATAAAATAATGAAAATTATATTAAGATATTTATTGCAAAAAAATAATAAATTTTAATGAAAAGATTGAAATATTTTAAAGAAAATGTGAATTAGACGCCTCTTTTTGAGACGCATGTTTGACGTAGTTTTAACTATTTTCGATGTTTATTTGGACAATTCGATATATCTTTGATATAGTTCTCTAAATGAGTTTTGAGATGACGCAAGGGATTTGTGAATTTGGTTAGTTTATAATTGTCGAAGAATTTTAAAAGTTAGCACGTTATCAAAATTTTTGAAATACTAATTTGTAATAGCCTGCTTTGACAAACCGTAACATTAGCTACGATTGGCCGTTTCGCACATCATTGACGATGTAGAAAATTAGATCGTCAACACTTCAAAATGATATTAAAAATACAATATTTCAAGTTTGTTTGATATCCTATAATGACTCTAAAAATTGAGACAAAATATAGAAAAATCAATGGTGGTAAAACAAATGAATTTGTCCAAAAGTTGTGACCCCCCATGCCATCCCTCTGCGTTCGCCACTTTCCTAAGGTCTCAAGTTGGTTGTACCTTTTTGACATCCTTATTTTTTATCGATAAACGTAAAATCTATTGATAAAAAATGATGTACAAGTATACTAGGCATATCTCGGACAAACAAGATCAAGTGACAATTACAATACTCTGGGCATTCCCGACCAAACAAAATGAAATGAAAAAGATGTACAAGCAATAATAGCTAGTGACTCAATGCTATGGATTCAAAATGAATTAAAAAAAATACGGATACAAAGTAAACATAGCTTTATATGCGTGTGTTTTAATTTGTCTTACAATGCAGTCAAGGCCTAAGATTCTGAAAAATCATCATATTCCTCGCCATCCAAATGTAAACGGAAGTAGCAAGTGCAATTCTTTTAACTTTGCTTTGTCAAGTCGTTTCCCGTGCTTCATTTTCAGTTCATTTCAATGCACTTGATAATGTAGACATAGTGCGTCTAATGGCCAACCAACTACGAATCTATCCCCACACGGAATTACTAAATGGACAAGAGAAAAATAAGTACAGTGTTGTTTCCTCCGTTTCTCCACAAAATGAACATCTTTGGTCTAATTCCAAATGTTGAATTTTATTTTTGGTTAGTAATTTGGGCTTAACACCTAACCAAAGAATGAGAGCATGTTTAGGGGTGATGGAAGTATTCTAAACCGTGTCTGCCCATGCCATCTTTGCATCCTTTGGCCTAAAAAATCATAGGCAACCTTAATGTTGAAGCTGCCTGCCTTCGTCCACTATAGAGCCTATCAACAGTAGCCTGAATTGTCTGCATCTAGCAGCACAAACCTGTCTCCACCAACCTAAGCAGTGCGTTCAAGCCCATGATTCGATCCCAATTTCAAGCACTTTTTTAAATAGAGGAGAATAATCTTTTTTTCGCTTTATACTGTCAAATGTTTGTCCCTCGAAGATATACTTGGTCGACCCATTTGATCCAAATGGTATCTTTTTTGATATGTATGTTCCAAAGCATTTTGGAGAGTAGCTCGCAATTCCAGTTTTTAATATCTCTAAAACAAGTCTTCCTTCATGCTTTGGTAGGCAAATGTTGTTCCAAGCAACCAATGGCTTTGTGTCTACCCATAGGAAGTTCCAACATAATATAGTGATTTTAGAGGCAACCGTAGCCGAAATGGCAAAAATGAACAACCAAAAACATTCTACAACTTGAAGAACGGTTCTCACAAGCTCTACTCTACCCGCATAAGATAGTGAGGCACTATACCATGCAGCAATGTATGATGAGATTTTTCTGATAAAAACATTACGGGGCCTAATTTTCAATTTTACCATCACAAGTGGGATCCTTGAGTAGGGAAATGCATAGAACCCTTGGTAATGCTAGTATAAGCAAGAATATGCTCCAACTCTTTTCCATGCACTCCCGCGGTATACAAGCTAGATTTTTCAACATTCATCTTGATTGCCGACATGTCACCAAATCTAGATAAGTAGTTCATCTAAATCTCAATCGACATAAAATCCCCTATAGTAAAGAGCATCAAATCATTTGCAAATGCTAAGTAAGTTATTCTTAAAGGTGCACATTTAAGGTGGAAAATGAACTCACTATTTTCGGCTGCTCCCTTCACCATTCTAGAAAAATATTTAAGACACAACACAAACAAGAACAGAGAAAGAGGGTCACCATGGCGAAGACCTTTCCTTCCTTTAATAAAACCATGAAGGCTACCATTAAGTGCTATAGAATATATAGGACTAGTAATGCATTCCATTGCCCAATCAATGAATGTAGTAGGGAACTGCAACCCCTCAAGCACATTCTTTAGGAAATTCCAATATGCTGAGTCATAGGCTTTTTTCAAGTCAATTTTGAGAAGGCATCTAGGAGCTACCCTCTTACGATTATATTGCCTTAAGAGCTCTCAAGCCAAGTGAATATTCTCTACCATGCTTCGACCCTCTACAAATACGGCTTGAGCTTGATCTACAATTGATCCTAGTATAGGCCTCAAACGAGAGGAGAGAATTTTAGTGATCACTTTATAAAACACATTGCAACAAGCAATATGTCTATACTCCCCCACGGAGGAAGAATGATTAGTCTTTGGAACTAATACAATAACCATGTGGTTCGTTTGCTTGAGAAGAGACCTCGAAGTAAAGAATTCTTCAATTGCCTCAATGAACTCTTCACCAACAAGATCCCAAGACATCTTAAAATAATGAACTGTACCCATCTTGTCCCTGTGACTTATCATCCTCGATGCTAAATAGGGCATCTTTGATTTCTTGCCTCGTAATATCTCGAGCAAGTAACTTAGCATTTTCATCCGATAAAAGGGGCCCAATACACAAAATTTCATCATTAAAGGCTATCCAAGATTGCCTTTTTCCAACAATTCACCGTAGAAATGAATGAATTCCTTCCCCACCTCTTTTTGAGAAGTAGAACAAGTGCCATCCATTTTAATTACAGCTGGAATATAGTTTCTCTTCATGTTTCTCTTGGGTATAGAGTGAAAAAAACTTTGTACATTTGTCACTATCCTTCAAGTAGACACTTTTTGCTTGTTGATAGTAGAAACTCCTTTCCACTTCACAAAGATACATAGCTTCTTTCCTCAACCGTGCCACATCCATTTGCAATTGAAGATTAGTAGATTATTTTGTCAATCAATTTGCATCAATTCCAAACTCCTTGAAGCAACTTTGGCCCTTCATGAGATATGTGAGAAATGTTTGACATTGACCTTTAAGATTTTGCAAATTCTCAAAAAAGTGAGAATTGCTCTGTTCCCCATACTTCTTGATTCCAACCATTACATACCACTTCATAAAAGTCATCATGATTTGTCCGTATGTTGAAAAATCGAAATGGAATGTTCTTCCTTTCAACTTCCCCAAAAAATAGAAACAATGCAATGTGAATGGTTGGATAGGCAACCCGAATGTTCTTCCTTATTTGTAGTTGCATTAACCAGCTATTGACTACTTTTTTGGAATGCCTTGTTAAAAAAATGGAGGAGATAATAGTCCGTTTTGAAATCCTTAAAATTTTAAAAACATAGTTTTAAATAATATTTTTTTGAAACATGTGGTTAAAAAGTATAAAAAGTTTTGGATCTACGAATAGAATATTTTATTGTGTGAATGTGTAGTTGAAAATGAGTATAAGAAATAAGTTAAAGTAAAGTAAATAATATCAAACAGGCACTTAAGCCTCCATTTGCAAAGAAATTTTAAATGATTTAATTTACAAATATTTGTAATGAGAAAGTGAATAACATTTATGGATCCATTATAATATGTAGTTAAAAATGAAGTTTGATGATTTATAAATGATTGTTAAATTTTTTCAAGCGAAATCAAATCCTTATTTTAACTAAAAAATTTACATAATACACCCTATATTTTATATTATGATAACAAAAAAAAAATAATTTCTACTTAAAAATTTATAGTTAAGCCTTGTTTGTAAATTTTTAAATGATTAATAAAGAGAATAATAGATCAATAGTAGTAGATCCCACAAAATTCGTTGATAATAATAAATAGTGATAGTTATGAATTTGATGAAAATTAATGTATGATTCTCATCGAATTTATAAACAGCTAATATTTGTGTATCCAGACGATAACCATAATTGAAAATAACAAATTAACCTTTTTATTACGTTTTGTAATATTTTACATACTAATTTATTATCTTCTATTTTTTTATTATTTTTTTATTTTTTATCTCCAAAAGGTCAACTATTTCATTTTCATCATTTTTTTATTATTATTTTCACGTTCATCTATCCCTCCATGAACTAACATTCATTCAAGGCATCCTACTTAATCATTATTTCTATTTTTATATTTTTTATAAAAAAATTATTAAATTTATATTTTTTTCCCCCTTCTATGAGGCTTTCTCGGAGAAAAGAAAAAAAATCATTTGAGATAGTTAACAATAAAATTATGCTGCAGTTTTAACAAATTTTTTATGCTGTAGAACTAACCTGACTTATAATTATTAAGAAATTAAATTTTAGGTACAATAATTAAAATTTACTTTGAATGATTGTTTTTAAACTTTATTCATTGAACAGAAACTATTAATTTGAAAATAGTAACTAAATTTTTTTTTATAATATTATAAGATGTCAAATTAAGTATTTTTGTATTTTTCAATGTTTTATTAACTTATTAAATTAAGTTTTCTTTATTTGAGTTGGAGACTAGGAAAAGAAGATAATATATTTTATGAATCTCATACACATAATAATCATCATTTANTGTCAACATACTTTAAAATGAGGATAAAATAAAATTGCTTATTTAAAAATATAATGGGCAATGAGTGTTTTTTCTTTTATCTTTAAAATTTTTTGAAGAAAAATCATAATCAGGAACAATTTATGTTAATTTGAGAATAGAAATGCGATACAAATTTCTTGAAACATTAATGTGATTACGTATAAAGATTACGAACATTTCATGGATTTAAATGTAATCTAGTCTTCAAAAAATGTGACACTTAAGGTAAGGGGCTATTTTGAGACATTTTATCGAGTAATGAAACTTTCCGGGGAAGAACAGGGCTGAATTTCTCAATCTTTTACACAGTGTGATTGTGGATTTTATTCTTTAAAAGTGAGTTATCGGATCCATAATCTATTTGATATGTGAATTTGAATCCCCATGTGATGAAATTTGTCAATTGACAAGCTATAATTGTACACAGTTTTTTGGTTGCATTAATGATAAATATTGATTGATTTGATAATTTTGGCTTCTAATTGTAAGTCTTGTGGAAGTCGGGTGAGATTTTGGACGTTCACATTGATTAAATCGATCATACAAGAACTTGAATTTATCAATTTAAATATGATGGGGCTAAAAAAGTTACTTTTAAAAGTTGAGGACTCACGACTACACTACATGAAGCGTTAGAAAACTTACCTCATGTGCCCAACTTTAAATTTTAAAGGTTAAGATTTCATTTCATTCTGGATGTCTAGACATGATTAGAAGGTTAATCATATTCTTTTCCACAGGCCAAGCATTATTACTTTGTTGCGTAGCACTTAATTATATCTTATTTATTTTACATTATATAATTTTATATGGAAAAAATAACATTTTAATTAAAAAAGTTTTATTTTTATTTTTGCAAGAATTGACTGCCACTAAACATTCACTATCCCAACCAAAAGTGTTTTTTCATTTCAAGTATAGCTTTTAGGCTTTTAAAACCTCTCCCAAACACCATTGTATTTTAACCAAATAATTTTTGATCTTCAAAAATTGCATTCAGACTTTGAAAAATGTACTTCCAAAAACGCTCTAAATATAAGTACCTTTTAACTAAACATAATGATGGAATAGATCGGCGAGACTCAAATGTTAACCAAAAAAAAAAAAGAAAAAAAGAATGATTTGAGGATGTTGCTGTCAATGACTGCTATCTCCATGATTTAACTGTTCCTCCACGTGTAAACACATATCATATTTGTGATTTAACTTTATATGGGTTAGAGAGATAGCATCAATAGTGTCCTTTAGATAACTGATAAGTGTATTTTTGTACACTTATTTAGGTCACAAACATGAGTTAACAATGAGCAAAATGATTGAATTGTGACTTAATCTCATTATATTTGTGAATTGTAGGGAACACCGATTACCATGGTGAAATTCAGAAGAAAAGATCCGAAAAATGACTAAAATGGAGCAAAGTGATAGTTCGGGGACCAAGTTGCAAATAATTCATAGATGAGACGGGAAATGGAATGAAGATTCAGAAGTGTTAGAGGTCAATCGGATGAGAAAAGGAGTCAAGAGGTGAAATATGATCGAAGTATTATTAAGTATCAACTTTCAGGCGAAAAAGCTATGCTCGTGATTTTTAGTCTCTACTTGAGATCCATTTTTGACATAGTAAACATCAGAATTTGAGAAAGCCTATTTCCATTAAAAGTATAGATCTTTGAGTTTTCTTCCCCATGCACTTTGAATCACTTCAATCGGAGAACAGGAGAGAAAGTTATGATCAAAATACTAAAAACTGTCTAGCGGAAAGAATGGTATAACTATGCGGTCGCATAGTATAAATTCTATGCAGTCGCATAGAAGCCTCCCGAGATTTTTTTCTCAAATTTTTTTTACTCTATGCGACAGCATAGAAATGTACTATGCGGTCGCATAGAACAAGATTCAGGGCCGATTCAGTAGTTTCCTTATTTCGTCGAAACTCTTATGGAAAGAAGATTTTTAGGGTTCTATATAAACTAAAACTCGACCAGAATGATGGGATGCCACTTTTATAGAATTGGAGGGGATTATACACAATTTTGGAGGATTTGGAGAGGAAGAATAAGGCAAAAACAAGGCAATCCACTTCAAGATTTAAGATTTCACTTCAAGAATCAATTGGGTGATATTCTTCCTAGGTTTTAATTATTTTTTCTCTTTATTTCCCATTATGTTAGGCTAGATTTTCATGTGCTAGGATTTGCGATGAACCTTATATTATGAACCCTTAATCTTGAATTTTATTAATTTGACGTTAAAACATGTTTTTAATTATTGAATGATTGGCATGGATTTTATTTTCTCTACAATTATGTGCGCAATAGTTGTATGAGCTTTGTGGCTTGTTTTACTCTCGAGAGATGAAAAATAAGTTAGACATTATGTTAATTGTCGTAAAGTTCGATAAGAGATAGAAATATACCGCTATGCTTTACGTGATCTTTAAGTATTCATAAATATTTAATGCATTTTTATATGTTCGCATCCGTCATTGAAATATAGTCGGATCGCATGTGAAAATAGGTTTAATTCTACTCGAGAGAGATTGTTAAACAAATTAGGAATATTGGTCTTCATAATTGAATCGTGTTGTCAATTTTATAAAATTCGAATTAAAGGGGATGGATATAAGGGGATTCGGGATCTTAGTACGCATTTCATTATCATATTTTTATAAAACTTGCATTTAGTTATAATCACGCATTTAATCTAGTTAATTTAAGTTTTATATTTATAAGTAGGTTATTAAATCATAATTTAGTTAACGAAAATATCAAAAATTTCTATTGTTTCGGTTAAGGCGACGATAGGTAAAATTGAACTAATCAATCTCTGTGGGACGATATTTAGACTCATTTAATCCACTTTATTACTTGTTAAAGAACCGTACACTTGCGGTAGTTTAAAATCGAAA